AGTGTACCGTCCACGTCGCACTCCCCTTGAAGGCGCAGGTTCGCAGCTTGGGTGTGACCCTGGACTCATCGTTGAGCCTGGATCCCCAGGTTTCAGCGGTGACCAGGGGAGCATTTGCACAGCTCAGGCTCGTGCGCCAGCTGCGCCCGTACCTTGGGAAGTCTGACTTGGCCACGGTGGTACACGCTTTGGTCACATCCCGCCTTGACTACTGCAACGCTCTCTACGTGGGGCTGCCCTTGAAGACGGCCCGGAAGCTCCAGCTAGTCCAGCGCGCGGCAGCCATGTTGTTAACCGGAGCGGGACGCAGGGAGCACACAACGCCCCTGCTGTCCCAGCTCCACTGGCTGCCGATTTGCTACCGGGCCCAATTTAAGGTGCTGGTACTATCCTACAAAGCCCTAAACGGTTCCGGCCCAAAATACCTTGCGGACCGCATCTCGGCCTACGAGCCCACGAGGACCTTGAGATCATCTGGGGAGGCCCTTCTCTCGGTACCGCCTGCCTCACAGGCACGTCTGGCGGGGACGAGAGAGCGGGCCTTCTCGGTGGTGGCCCCCCGGCTATGGAACTCCCTCCCTGCTGAAATCAGACAGGCACCTTCCCTCATGGCCTTCCGTAAGGGCCTGAAGACCTGGCTCTTCGAAAAGGCCTTCAGCTAGTGCTATATGTTTTCCTTGGAATGATCACCGGAATGGACTATGACGATGAGACTGACTATGACCCTAATCTAGACGAAGCGGATTTTTATATGTTGTGTGATGGTCTTGTTCCACTGTAAATTGTTGTCTTTTCTATGTTTTGTACACCGCCACGAGTCGCCTCCGGGCTGAGAGTGGCGGTTAACAAGTGCAAGTAATAAATAAATAAATAAATACAGCAACCGGACTGGTTACAGGAATATCTAGGAGTGAGCGTATTACATTTATCCTAAAGTCTCTCCACTGGCTGCCAATTAGTTTCTGGACAAAGTACTAGGTGTTGGTTTTCACCTTTAAAACCCTACATGGTTTGGGTCCAGGTTATCTACAGGATCACCTTCTCCCATACAATCTATCCCAAACACTGAGGTCCTCAAGGGTGGGTGAGGATGGGAGGGGTGGGATGGGGTCCGCTTCAGCTGGCCAGAACCCAACTGGTGACCATCACCCACAGGGCTGTAGCCAGAAAAAAATTCGGGAAAGAATTTGGGGGGGGATTGAAAATTTCGTGGGGGGGGGTTGAAACCTGCCTCCTAGCTACTGAAGCAAAGAGCACAGCAGGGGGCAGAGCAGCCTTCAATAGCCTGCAGCTCCGCCCCTGTCAACCACCTCCACCAAGTCTGGCCTCCTTAATGAGAGCATTCAACACCCCCCCCCCAAACTTGGTTGCTTCACTACATCGGCTATTGCTGCAAGTAATGACAGTGTGAATAAATTGTCAATATTTGCTTGAGATAGTGCTTGCAGTTCTGGAGGGACTCTTAATTTTTTGCATCTCATAGACTTAGCATGGGGATTTGGTTAACCAGTTAAAATTCATGAATAAACCAGACTTTTTTTAACCTGAAAATTTTTTGGGGGTGGTGACCCCCGAACACCCCCCCCCCCCCCGGCTACAGGCCTGGTCACCCAGAAGGACCCCCCGGTGGCGCAGTGGGTTAAACCCCTGTGCCGGCAAGACCTGAAGACCGACAGGTTGCAGGTTCGAATCCGGGGAGAGGTGGATGAGCTCCCTCTATCAGCTCCAGCTCCTCATGGGGACATGAGAGAAGCCTCCCACAAGGATGATAAAAACATCAAATCATCTGGCGTCCCCTGGGCAACGTCCTTGCAGACGGCCAATTCTCTCACACCAGAAGTGACTTGCAGTTTCTCAAGTCGCTCCTGACACGACAAAAAAGAAAAAAAAAGAGAAAAAAAAGAAGACCCTTTCATTGGCTGCCCCACGACTCTGGAACAACCTGCTGGTAGAGCTCCGACAGTTGAATCAGCTGTCAGAATTTAAGACAAAAGTGAAGACCTATGAGAAGACCTTGGGTCTCTTCCAGCAAGCCTACCTGGACAGTTTTAATGATGAATTGTAACCCTGTATGCATAATTTTTGTTTTGTGGAAATATGTTTTAATATGTGTATTTTATGGAGTGTTTTAAAATGACTTTGTGTTTGTTTGTGTATTAGTAATGCAGTAACCCACCTCCAGCTGTGAGGAGAGGCAGGTAAGAAATAAAATTATTATTATTATTATTATTATTATTATTATTACTATAATTACTATTATTCTTATTTGATACACAACAAACAAGATCACTATGCTGGCTTTTGTATTCAATCACACCTCAGACATTTCCCAAGTGTTTAGGACAGTGTGATGTATCCGTGAATAATGTGTACAGATCCTAGTAGGGTTGTTGTTGTTATTGTTGTTGTTATTATATGACTGTTACCCCTTTAAGACTATCAAGAGGGGCATCAGTGTTCAAGACTTCCTTCCTCCTCCTCCTCTTTCTTCACCACCATGTCCACCAGAGTCACACTGTTCCCTTCTTGTCCTTGCTCTTGGCTGGAAGAGCTGCAGACAGTTGTACCAGTTGCTCTTCAAGCCTGATGCTTACAAACATGAGAATAAGCGCGCAGGCAAAGGGGACGCGCGTGGAATCTAAGAAGCGAGTTAGGAAGGAGAGAGAGAGAGAGTCACCCGAAGATCGCTCGAAGCTTGCAGGCAGCGGTGACACGTGTGAACATCCTAGAAGCGCGTAGGGAAGCCTGCAGACCTGCTTGTCCCCTTCCTCTCCTCCTGGGCTGAACATCACCGACTCCCCGCTTCCCTCCATCTCGGGCGCCCTCCTGCCGCCCCTCCTCTCCGTGGGGTTGGGCTTGGCGCCTGGCGGAGCCCCTCTCCCCCTGGATGGGACAAGGCAGCTTCCCCAGGGCACCAGAAGCGCCCCTTCTTCGCTGCCAACTTGGCCCCACGCGGGACCCGAAGTGTCGGGGCTGAGCCCTTGGGCACAGCTGTAGGGCGCAGGGGCGTGCTGCCCCCTCCCCTGCCTTTGGGCTCGACCCTCCCAAGGGTGAGTTGGGTGGTGCTCCCGTTGCCCTCTCCCCGCCACTTCCTCTCTCAGGCGCCTCGGAGCGGGCACGGAGCTCTTCCCAGCCACTTCCAAGCATGGAGGCAGAGACCTGGTCCGGGAAGCCCACCGTGCCGTGGCCGGGCGATGCGGGCAGTGCCAGCCCCAGCCCCGACTCCCTGCGGGTCCTGAACGGCAGCCGGGAGAAGGAGGAGGAGGAGGAGGAGACGTCTCCCCCGTTCCTGACCGACGCCTGGCTGGTGCCCGTCTTCTACGCCCTCATCATGCTGCTGGGGCTGGTGGGCAACGCGCTGGTCATCTATGTCATCAGCAAGCACCGCCAAATGCGGACGGCCACCAACTTCTACATCGGTGAGTGAGTGAATGCCGCCCTAGGCAGAGACTTGCCCAGCTTGGGAGTCGAGGTTGCTGTCCAAGGTGCTGAAGCCATTCTTGGGCTCGGATTCAGCACAACCGAGAGCTCCAGAAGAGATGGAGGGTCCCACTGAGGCAGAGCCTGCCCCAGGGCCAGCTGAGCTTCAGAGCCCAATCCTTCCCACTCCTCTCTCTCTGAGCCAGGGTTCCTCAACCTTCCTAATGCCCTGACCCCTTAAGACAGTTCCTCATGTAGTGGTGACCCCCCACCATAGAATTATCTTCCTTGCTACTTCATAACTGTAATTTTGCTACTATTATGAAGCGTAATGTAAATATCTGATATGCAGGGTGCATTTTCGTTCACTCGACCAAATTTGGAAAAAATACCCGATACACCCTAATTTGAAGACTGGTAGGGTTGGGGGGTTCATTTTGCCATTTAGGAGTTGTAGTTGCTGGGATTTATAGTTCACCTACAATCAAAGAGCATTCTGAACTCCACCAATGATGGAAATGAGCCAAACTTTTCACATAGAACTCGCATGACCAACAGGAAATACTGGGCACAAATACTCAATATGCCCAAATGTGAACACTGGTGGAGTTTGGGGGAAATAGACCTTGACATTTGGGAGTTGTACTTGCTAGCATTTTTAGTTCACCTACAATCAATGAGCATTCTGAACCCCACCAATGATAGAATTGGGTCAAACTTCCCACACAGAACCCACATGCCTTGAAGGGAATCATTGGCATGAGCCTCCCTCCAGTCTTGCATGCTCTCCCTTTCCTGAACATACACATCATGCTGCCATGCACTGAACATGTCTGCTCTCCCCTTGGCTGAGAGGCTGGCAAGTCACAGCAGAGTAGGGCTTTTGGTGGGACGATCTGCCTCCTGTTTCCAAAAAGGAAGAGAAGGACAGGCAGAGAGATCTTCAGCCTTCTCTTCCAAAGCTGTTCCTAAGACCAGCAGGAATATATGTTTTCTGATGGTCTTTGGTGATCCCTCTGAAACCCCCTTCTGACTCCCCCCCCCAGGGGTCCCAACCCCCAGGTTGAGAAATGCTGCTCTGAGCAGAAAGAGCCAGACTCCTTCTAGTACAGGCATGGGCAAACTTTGGCCCTCAAGGTGTTTTGGACTTCAACTCCCATAATTCCTAGCAGCCTATGGGAATTGAAGTCCCAAACACACGGAGGGATGAAGTTTACCCATGCCTGTACTAGAAGGATTTCTCAACCTGGGGGTCGGGACCCCTGGGGTGGTCACATCCCCACTCCCATCACCCTTTCCTCTAACCACATATTTAGCCTATAAATATGTGGTTAGAGCCTCTTTAACCAGGCACACAATTTCCTTAATTTCTGCACAATGTTTATATTGGCTTCCCATTGTCAGCTCCAGTTTCTCATGCGGGGATATGAGAAAAGCCTCCCACATGATGGTAAAACATCTGAGCATCTCCTGGACAACATCCTTGCAGACGGCCAATTCTCTCACACCAGAAGTTACCTGCAGTTTCTCAAGTCGCTCCTGACATGAAAAAAAAATCTATTCAAGGGTATTAATTGGCCATTCACATTATACATGTCTTTAATTCTGTATAACTCTTTATTCCTCATTTCTTTCCACCTCTTTTGGTCAGTCTTTTTCCTGTATAGACACTCTAGAGGTTTCTATTTAGATATTTCTGCCATTTTTTGCATATCTTTAATGCTACCTTTCTAGGACCGTAAGTTTTTTTTAAAAAATAATCTGTTAAATTATGTGTAAATACCCCGTAACTCCCTTGATCTTTGTTACCCTCGTTTTTTTAACCTAATCTATTTATCTCTCTTCTCACTCTTAATTTCTAGTAATGGCCCATGCCTGCTCTCACACCAATCTAAGGTTATTATGTTGCCCCAGGTTAATATAGTTCCCCAGTTTTGTCTACTGTCCTGGGTGCACTTATACTATAGAACGAGTGCAGTTTTGACACCACTTCAATTGCCCTAGCTCAATGCTATGGAATTGTGGGAGTTGTTGTTTGTTGAGGAACCAACACTCTTTGGCAGGAAAGGCTAAAGTGCCTCTAAAACTATACCTCTCAGAATTCCATAGGATTGAGCCAGAGCATTTAAAAGCAGTGTCAACCTGCATTGACTCTACAGTGAGACAAATATGCCCATTAAGGGTAGTTGAACAGTTATTTAATATCCTCATAAATCCATGCTATTTCCCACAATTGTTACAAGTGATGGAAACAAAGGCACTGAAATCTAATGTGGCATTTATTAATGTTGACACATGGGTTATGATTTCCCTACATTATCTTCTTCCAGGCAGTCATGAATGAGTATGTAGGTTACTTTGAAACATTTTAATATGTGGGTTAGCTTGAAACATGTTAGCTGCATGTGGTATTTAATTACAGCAATTTTCTCCATGCCATTATATCCAATTGTTAGTTCTAACTAGAATCATTTCATTGAATTGATAAATCATAGCTAAGTGCTGACTTACCAAGTTCTCATTGACTGAGTTGCTGTAAGTTTTTTCGGGCTGTATGGCCATGTTCCAGAAGCATTCTGTTTCACCTCCATCTATGGCAGGCATCCTCAGAGGCTGCGAGGCCTGTTGGAAACTTGGAAAATGAGGTTTATATATCTGTGAAATGTCCAAGGTGGGAGAAAGAGCTCTTGTCTGTTGGAGATAGGTGTGAATGTTTCAATTGGCCACCACAATTAGCATTTAATGGCCTAGCAGTTTTCAAGGTGTGGCTTCTTACTGCCTCATTGACTGCATGGGCCTACAAGGACTGAACAAACAACCAACTGGATGTAGAACAAAGTGTGGCTGTTTGTATGTGTGTGTTTATAAATACACATTCTTCAAGGTATGTTTTCATCTCCAAAATACACCCTAATGATTTCATGAACAACCGATTAAAATAGCACCACCTCTTTGACAAGAAAAAGATTTGTTTTTTTACTTGGTGCCTTTATTACATCCCTCCCTGCTCACAATCGTTTTTTTCTTGATTCATGGTTTCATGGTGACTCTATCATGAGGGTTTCCGGTGCTGAGAGCATTTGAAGAGCAAAGTCAACAAGAATGACTCCGCATCTCATTCTTTACTGGTTTTGGCTGCACCAATATTTATTAATTCAATTGAAATCTTTTTCTACCTCCTGCTAAAAAGACCAACACCACTTATATTCAAAAAGAGAACCTTGGCTCATGGAGCACAGTAGACAGTTGTCACTCAGAGTTAGCCTAGGTTATCTGTACTGAGCTCATCTTCGTGTCTTTTGCAGCAAACCTGGCTACTACTGACATCATATTCTTAGTATGCTGTGTGCCCTTTACTGCCACGCTCTACCCTCTGCCCAGCTGGGTGTTTGGGGACTTCATGTGCAAATTTGTCAACTATTTGCAGCAGGTAAGCTGGGAAGTGAAGGAATTTGTATTGACATTCTTACCTATCTATCTATCTATCTATCTATCTATCTATTTACTCAATTTGTATCCTGACTTTCTCTACCCTGAAGGGGACTCGAGGCAGCTTTACATATGGCAACTATTCAATGCCTTTGAACAACAAACAGTTAAAACACATTAAGTTAAAGATTTAAAATTAAAATTGTGTGTCAAGAATGAAATAGGATGTTAGGGATGTGACTGATATGCATTAGATGTATATATATACTGCACATAAGTACACAGCTGTAAGTGAGTATTGGGTGATCTTGACTTAAAGATGGTATTTTTTCTGAGGGTGACATTAACAGCTTTTTGTGCTTATAAATACAAACTCCACTTTGTCTTTTCACCAGGTGACAGTACAGGCTACATGCATCACCCTTATGGCTATGAGTGTGGACCGCTGCTATGCCACACTGTATCCACTGCAATCATTGCGTTATCGAACTCCACAGGTTGCCATGGCTGTCAGTATTGCTATTTGGATTGGTGAGTGGGGCAGCAATCTCAAAGAGAAGGTGGCTGACTGGCTTCCTGCGGAGGAGCCAGATGACTCCTAGCACTTCATCCACTGTGATTTCCCTTGGGTTGGTCTCAGACATCAACATCTAATGAAATATTATTTTTAACAGACTATATGGTTCACTTATTTATTATACTGAGCTATATTTCATCTTCCAACTTCTGGAGGGTCTGCTGCAGCAGCTTCGTAGTACCTCAAAGGTTGACAAAAATTTAATAGCATGAGCTTTAACAGCTATGGCCCGGACCACTTACTACAGGCTAGCCTAAAGTCTGTTGTGAAGTCAGAATGAAATGACATTGGAAAAATGTAGACTGTTGAAATTATATTAAAATGAAATACATGCAGAGTAAGCAGAATGATCATGGTTAAACCAGGATGATAGCAAAATGCAACATATACTGCAGGATAAAAATATATTCCTTTAGTTCAGTACAATCATCTTTCAATATTATTGCTGGATTTTGTTTGTTGTCCTGAGTTCACTCCTAATTTTCTCAGATGATATTAAAACATATTTATTTTAACACGAATCCACATTGTTGAATTAATGCAGTTTGACACTACCTTGGCTGCTATAGCTCCATGGTATGGATGGAGTTATTGGAATTGCAGCTTCACAAGATCTTTAGGCTTCTTTGTAAGAGTGCCCATGCCTCATCAAATTACAAATCTCAGGATTCAATAGCATTGAGCCATGGCAGTTAAGAAAGAGTCAAACTGCATTAATTCAGCAGTGTAGATCCACTCTCAGCCTCTTCTCACTCATCCACTACACTGGAATGCAATAATAATAATAATAATAATAATAATAATAATAATAATAATAATAATGTATTTATATACCACTCCATCTCCCCGAGGGGACTTAGAGCGGTTCCCAAGTAATATCACAAAACATACAGAGTAAAAACAACATAACCATAAGATTAACAAACAAATCATAAGCATAACAATTGTCACCATAACACACATATATTAAAAGTAATCCTGCATGTTCAAGGCAATTAAAAATTTAAAAGGCTGGGCCAAGATTTGGGCAAGCCCAAAAATTCTAGGGCCCCCGGGAATTGAGTGCAATGCTATGGCAGGTAACAATAGTATTAGGTACGGGTCTGTGGCTGTTCATTCTGGGGCCGATTAGAAGAAAGAATCTGGGTAACTGGTAGGAAGAATAAGGCCGTATTAGACAATGTGTGGGGCTGAGTTAGAACTGGTCATTTTCAAAGGCTTGTTGAAACCACCAGGTCTTCAAGCTCTTACGAAAGGCAGGAAGGGATGGGGCCTGTCTTATTTCCCTTGGAAGGGCGTTCCAGAGACTGGGGGGCCACCACTGAGAAGACCCTCTCTCTCATCCCCACCAATTGCGCTTGAGACGATAGTGGGACCGAGAGGAGGGCCTCCCCAGAAGATCTTCGAGCTTGCGCTGGTTCATAGGAGGAGATGTGATCTCAGAGATAGGCGGGGCCCGAACTGTTTAGGGCTTTTTAGAATAGATAAGTGTTTGATCTGCCTGAGTCCCTGGAGTCAATCTGTTCTCTTGGCAATCTAGAGGCAAAGCCTTCACTTGGCATCCCACCAGCTTCCTTGTCAGACTCCAGGACAATGCTATGTCCCACCAGCATTGCAGCCTTCTCTTTCCCCAAAGGTCTTGAGTCCATAAGAGCAACTGGTTGCTCATGAGCTTGGTTTTGAACAGATGTTTAAACTGCAATTTCTACTACCACTCAGATCTTTCCCAAGATTCCCAAGGAGCACGTCTTTAAACAAAATATCTAATCTAAACAGTGCTCGTTTTGGAGGAAGGAGAAGAGATCAAGAAGAGGAGTTAAACATTGCACAGGTCTCCTCTCAGTTCCCATGTCTGTGGACCCAAGAATAATAACATTTGAACAGAGCTAGGGAGATGTTTTAACATGTGCAAAGTTATTTCTGATTTGCAAACACTGTGATGATGCAGCATAGATTATTCTTGCAATTTTGCAAGATTGCAAGAATAATCTATCATATTGATGACTGCAGTACCTCACTAGACTATAATGATGATATCTATGATCACAGGTTCCTTCATTCTTTCATTACCTATGGCTGTGTATCATCGCACCGAAGTTGGCTACTGGTATGGTTTGCGGACCTACTGCATTGAGGCCTTCACCAGCAAGAGCCAAGAGCGCTGCTTCATTCTATATACTTTCCTGGCTGTTTATCTGTTGCCCCTGCTGACAATCTGCCTCTGCTACACCATCATACTCAAGCGCATTGGGAGACCTGTGGTGGAACCTGTGGACCACGATTACCAGGTAAAGTAGTGGACAAAAATGAAAGGGTAACTGTTTTTTATATTGTTGTGCCTTGGTAATACCAACAACAGTTACAGCAACAGCTCCATTCTCCCTTCCAACCTCTGGCAGACTTTCAGGTCAGATAATTTAAAAAATAGTATCTCAGAAATTTATACCACTCCCTTAAAATACGTGGTTCTGACATCACTTTCCCCAAATATGACCTACACATTACATAAAGCAGTTGAAATTCAGTTGGCAAGGTGTGTAGCAATAGAATGTAGCAATAGATTGCATAGCAATAGAAGTGTTTGTGTTAAAGGTCATAATCTGTGGCAATCTAACTGCCATTGTGATTTGCAATATAATTAGAAATAAATATTAATATTAATCAGACACTATGTCTGAAGTTAAATTATTTTGACTTCATGAACTACAAGCAATGTGTTAGTATTTAGTAAACACTTATTTTGTATTCTTGCCTCTTTAAGAAAAGAGGTTTTTCCCCACATCTCCCTCTCTCCTTCTCTTTTTATCTTTCATAAGGTCTAGAAACTTACAAAATATCAAAGCTGAGGTTTTCAGTGTGACCCACTCCTTGCTTCCACATTCCTTGCTTGCCAGGACTGGTACTCAAGGCTAATGTTTCACCAGTTACTTGAATTTGGTTATTGCCTGGCAATTTCAATGGTCTTATTCATGTGTCTCAAATTGTTTCTCTTGTCCACTAGATCACAAAATGAGTGGATTCTATTGATATGTAAACACAACCCTCTTAAATCCAAATGCCCTGCCTGTTTTTTTTCTCCTTAATCTCAGCAGGTGCAACATTTGTCCGAGCGCTCAGCTGCCATGAGAGCCAGGATTTCCAAGATGGTCGTGGTGATTGTGTTGCTGTTCACAATTTGCTGGGGTCCTATCCAGTTCTACTTGCTCTTTCAGGGCTTCTATCTTCATTTCCAGGCCAACTATGAGACCTATAAGATCAAGACATGGGCCAATTGCATGTCATATGCCAACTCTTCCCTCAACCCCATTGTCTACGCTTTCATGGGAGATAGTTTCCGCAAGTCTTTCAAGAAAGCTTTTCCTTTCCTGTTTCGTCAGCGTATTCAGGACAATGGTGGGCATTCAGGCTCCCACAATGCAGAAATGAAATTTGTCACTGAACAGACCTAACACATTGTATGATGAAGAATTCTTGTTGGTTTGGACTGCCCAAGGATACTAAGAGTTGCAGAATTCCTAACGGGCTGCAAAGAGTTAATGGAGCTATATCTATACACCTGCGAGCAGAATTTGAAAGACTCCATTGCAGATGTATTCAGTGAAAGTGTCTACAGACTCTATGACTGATGATTTTTAAATTTAATTTTAACATTAAATCCTCAGGAGTTTGAGATTAAATGGTGGGAGAGCCCTGCCTCTACTTTTATGCTTGGGGTCAACACAGAATGCAACTCTATTACCCTGAGGGGAAAATGAGGCTAAATTGTAGACCATTCCTTGAGGGTATTTATAGAATACCTGTATTAGATCTGGGAATTGTGGTCCACCAGAGATTGTTGGGCTGTTGCTCCCAGTATTTTCCACCACTGGTTGTGCTGAGATTTCTGGTAGTTGAAGTTCAACAAACTCTGGAAGATTGCATACTTCCTAACCATATCCTGGATTTATGAATGTATTTTCCAAATTGGATCCAAACCCAACTGACTCTAACTAAAACTCTCAGTTAAACTATGGAGTCTTTCTTTTCCTTTCACACTGGACATTCCCTAAATCAGATTGTGTGTGCAAGCTATGTGTATTAGCTAAACTAATACCTGCATTGAGAGTTTTGTACTTTCATGTTAGGATTTTTTCTTAAGGATGACTAGTACTAAGAATTACTGGCAATGAAAGTCCACTTTTGGAAAACTCTACCTCCATTTATCTAATTGAATCCATTTTTAAAACTCACAACTCCAATTAGTTTTCAACAAAGTGTACATAACCCTATGGCATTTTTGCATGGTTACAAAGCACCAATTGCCACTAGTCCAGCATTCTGTTGACAGAGGGGTACATGCTATGCTAAATGTGCTGTAAAGCATACTGTTTTCTTGTTTCCTCTCACATGATGCATAGAATCACCCAAACATGAGATCATTTTTATGATTTCATGTCATCACCAGCAACGTTGCTTTTGCACAATAAAAACAACCAATTAAATTTGTTTTGGCCACAGTTGCTTCTTTCGGTGATTCCTTGCTTCCTTTGTTCTCCTCCCATACTGATGATGTTCTGGCCTCATTCACAAAGTCCAGCCCACCTTGGCCACATTTGGGGCACATTTTCTGGCCATGTTGACCAGATTATGTGGGATTATGTGAATAGCAAGTGCTCTGTGAGGCCCCCGGTGGTGCAGTGGGTTAAAGCACTGAGCTGCTGAGCTTGTTGATCGAAAGGTCGCAGGTTCGATTCCGGGGAGCGGCGTGAGCTTCCGCTGTCAGCCCTAGCTTCTGCCAACCTAGCAGTTCGAAAACATGCAAATGTGAGTAGATCAATAGGTACCGCTCCGGCGGGAAGGTAACGACCCTCCATGCAGTCATGCCGGCCACATGACCTTGGAGGTGTCTACGGACAACGCTGGCTCTTTGGCTTAGAAATGGAGATGAGCACCACACCCCAGAGTCAGACATGACTGGACTTAATGTCAGGGGACTACCTTTACCTTTACCTAAGTGCTCTGTATCATGTGCGCCATCTGCTGGTTCTTCCCAGCTGATTCTTCTCTCTGTGTGTCCCCCTTTCCTCCCCACTCTCCTCTGGACATTCCCAATCCTGGCAAGAAAGGTCTTTGCCAATTAAGGACACTTCCCACGGCTATCTATGGAAGACAAGAAAGCTGCATCAACTACACATGAATGTGTGTTTGCAAGGGTGTATGATCAGGCATAAGAGATGGTGTGTTTCTCAAGGCGACATACAGCTTGGATATGATAATGATGCACAGGGCAGTGTTTACAGTGGCAGACCCACAGGATCAGAACTGAAACAACTGCAAGAGTGTGTGGGAGACTAGAGACCACATATTGTGGGAACAAGGGGTCCATTTCTGATAGATAAGATGGATAGCAACAATAGTTAAGGATGAATCAAAACAGCACACTTTTTTAAAGGAAGTATTCATGATCAAAAGAGGTATGTATGAGTATCTGTGCATAGCTTTCCTTGCTGTGACCAGCCAGATGCCCATGGAAAACTCACAAATAAAGTACAGGCAAAATAGCACCTTCTGTCCATGATTCCTAGCAATTGTTATTAGGGCTCATGCACCTCTGTTCTTTGGATACAGCCATCTTGCCTTTGATTTTGATGGATGTTTCACTTTTATGTTAACTGTGAACATGAGAAAGGCAGGAAACAAGAAAGAACAAGATGGACATTTCTCTGTATTGTTGTGAGGAACCACAAATAGGTTGAGCCAAGAGCAGAGGTTACAGTTCTGCTATACAAAATTTTGAAGAGCTACATTTTCTGAAGCTTTGACCTATTATGTTGGTCCAGATTTGTACAAAATTTCATTTTGTGTTCTCAAGAGCCATCTGCTGGTTGATATCTGAGGTTGTAATCCTGTGCCTGCTTCTGTGGGAACATAGTGAGACTTCAGAGTAAACAAACACACATTAACAATAGACTACAGGAGTCTATTGCATACCATGCAGTTGTGGGCAAGATCACCAAATGCATGAAAGGTACTGCAGACTACTTCAGTTAGAAAAATCAGCCATAGCCGAACACACAATAAACCAAGCTGGGCACAAACTATTATTTGAAAATGCAGAAATTCTGGACCACTCTGACAACCACGTTGTCAAACTACACAGAGAAGCCACTGAAATCCACAAGCACATGGAGAAAGTCCGTCTACAAACCCACACGTTCACTCCGGTCATCTGGAGAGGCCCTGCTCGTGATCCCGCCTGTGTCACAAGCGCGCTTGGTGGAGACTCAAGACAGGGCCTTTTCTGTGGTGGCACCCCCGACTCTGGAACGCCCTCCCAAAAGATCTTCGACAGGCCCCTTCGCTGGCAGTCTTCAGAAAGAACTTGAAGACCTGGCTGTTCCGATGTGCCTTTTCAGATTAGGAACCCCAATACCAAGTCCTAGAAGCACTTTAGTAACTAAGACCACTGCACACCGCACACTGCACTTACTTTATAATCCTACATACCTCCTGCCACATCAGCATTTTTAATCTTGTACCCATTACTCTGGCCTGGCCCAGTTTTATAGTGTCTTGACGTCTCGATGTATTGTTATTGCTGTTGTTTATTCTGCTTAACTGCTTTTAATTTGCTCTAGGTATTGTATTGTTGTATTGTGTTTTGAGGCCTTGACCTATGTAAGCCGCATTGAGTCCTTCGGGAGATGCTAGCGGGGTACAAATAAAGTAATAATAATAATAATAATAATAATAATAATAATAATAATAATGGACAATTTCAACAGAAAGGAAGAAACCATGAAAATTAACAAAATCTGGCTGCCCCCAGGCAGCAAGCAATGAAGGGCTAATGAATACCACCCACACAAAGAATGCCTCCAGGCAATAAACACTCCAAGGGAACAAAGGCCTGGCTGCTTCCAGGCAGATGCCCTCACTATGTGATTGGGTCTAACCCAAGCATTTGCAAATCAGGCTTGCTAACTGCACCCTTCACACTTGATTAATAGACATTGGTTCTTTCTCCCACCCTTAACACGGCACATATATGTATGTGTATGTATATATGTGTGTATGTATGTGTGTGTGTGTGTGTGTGTGTATTCCACTTGATTTACCACCATCAGATCCTCTGAAGATGCCAGCCACAGATGCAGGTGAAACGCCAGGAGAAAGTGCTGCCATACAACCCAGAAACCACACAGCACTTCACACATTAACAATATTTACATGCAGTGCTTCTGAGCTGTACAAAAAGGGCCCTGACAGTAACTCACAAAAAGAAACTGCTTACAAATGCTGCACACTTACAAATGAATTGCATTAAAATGTTAATTTGTTAGCTTAGAATGGCACTAAAATCCCTGTCATCTGAATGACAAGATGCACAATACTATTTTTAAAAAGCTACAGTGGTTTCTGGTTGTCATACATGAGTTCCCTAATTTTGTATTTTCTTTTTAGTGAGATGTGTTTTGTGGTTAGTCATTGGAAACTCAGCACAGTCTTGCTTTGTAAATCTAGTTGTTGAGGCACACAGCTCTGAAGAGGGTGTTTTTTTTTGGGGGGGGGGTGAGAATGTATTGCCCTTTTTGCTTAGTTTGAACCAGATGTGGGCTTAAGCTTACATCACAGCAACAAGATGCATCCACATATATATCCAAGACAGAATTGTTATTGTTGTTTTGGTCTGTTTATTAGCCATTTAATTCAAGGACTTATTTTCACAAGATATAGTTCAAAGTTACTCATGAGCCTTCATTCTGGAATAGGAATTTGGACCATTGTCTCATTTTTAGACACTTTAACTAGTGTACCACGTGAAAACTTCATGCAATTCTTTCCTTCTCCCCATTTCTTGCTGACCATATTCTCTGTTCATATACCAGTTGAAGCTTTTGTAAGATTATTTCTGAGTTCCTGTCCTAACCACAGAGTTATAGCATGGTGTGGTTTCCAAGGGTATCATGTGGCCAAACTAAGGAGGGAACAGAACTTACCTTCTCTATTTCAAATCCCCTTTGATTATTTGTCAGAAGCAGCTATACACATGCTATTATGAGTAAAAATGAAATAATTAGGTCAATATCATGTTACATTGTTATAGTACAGAAATCGAACTCCAAGTTATGCAATATATATGAATTATATGAATTGTGAGACACCAATGAACTGTGAGATGTCAATCCATTGGAACCTATGGCAGGTGTGCACATCTTTGTTCTACAGTAACCTTCCATAAATTACTTTGGAATGTTGCCCAACACACCACAGACCCCAGAAAACATTCCCTCAAATATCCATAATCCACTCACAATGGACTGGGAGAAGGGAGGGAAAATACAAAATGAACTTGCATCAGAACCTTCTTCCTATTTTCACCTGATATGAATTGGGAATGTCTCTTGTCCATGCCCTAAGCCAGATCCATGCTCTTTAACACCCATTAAAATAATCATCACTCTAAAGCAGGGGTCCTCAAACTAAGGCCCGAGGGCTGGATATGGCCCTCCAAGGTCATT